GATTGAATATTAGGAGTAACAACAAACAATAAAAATGTTATTGTAATACATAAAAAAAATCGTGTCTTAGTTAAGCCGATTATCTTTTTTAAGGAGTGCCGGTGTAGAAATTATGATTAATTTAATATGAAAATTTTCCTATTAATTCACTGTAGATTATTATTAGGGTTTTCGTTAAATTATTAGTAGACTACACTATAATATTATAAAGTTGATAAAAAGTGTTTTTTGTAAGTAGGTACTAAATATCTGGAGCTACCAGTCAGCTAAGTAAATTTTATATCGTGTAAGATTTTAGGATATCTATTTTTTTGAGACCCTTAGGAGTTGAGCAATTATAGGTACTTACACAAATAAGCTATGCGAACAAAGTAGCGGGCAAAAGCTCATAGAGATTGAGAGATATTAAATAAAACTATCGGGAGAGACTCTCCCGTGACCATGATTGCTGTACAATGCATTCGAAACGTCGGGAACCAAAAAATCTAAATAAATCCGCGTATTAATCCGATAAGATAGTTTTATTTAAAATGTCAAATATTCGCGTAAATCTAAGAAAGTATTGGGAGATTGAGAGAATTAGTGTTCACGGACATTCTACTTTTCTACACCTTATAGGATTGTTCATAGTTGATGCTTGTTCTAGGAATATAGCTGATTTATCAACATCCAAACTAAAAAGCCTTGAATAGCTGAAATTTTATCTTTGCCTACAATAGCATAGGTGTTTAAAAATTTTCAACCCTTAAGGGGCAAAAGGGGTTACTTACAAATAAAAAAATATTGGGCTGGGTGTTGTGGTAGGAATTTGAAATATAATACTGTATTTATAAATTACAAGCAGAACCCGCGGCTTCGCTGTCGCTAAAACTACAAAAAAAAAACTAATAAGGTAGGTTTCACCCAAGCTTTCATCCAACATTTTACCCGCTTATGGGACGAATTTCAAAAAATGCTTAAATTATATAGAGTTATAATTATATTAGTATTTATTTAATTGTATTGAAGAGCATTATTACCAAGTTTCAAGTCATTCTGATCATAATTATTTTTTTGGGTTAGATTATAACGCGTTTTCCCGGGGGGCCGGGGGACTGAGATAATCTTCGCGGTAAAAAGTACCTATCACCTATGTCACTCTCCAGCCCTCCAACTATCTCCACACAAAAAATCATGCCAATCCTACACTCTGTTTTCGCGTGAAAACAGGACAAACAAACAAACACACTTTCACATTTATTAAATATTACGTAATAATTGGACGAGTATATTAATTTTTACGTAATAATTGGACGAGTATATTAATGTTTTTATTACGTTCACTTTAGAGTTTACAGACTGCTTTGTGAAAGTCGGTAACTTTTTTTTACTTTCATTTTTTATTTGATGGAGTGCCCTGTAGGTAAGGAAGTACCGTTCTAAGCACTTAAGATATATGGTACTTGTGTAACTTTTTCTACTTTATAATATACTAGCGACTCACCCTCGCTTCGCTCGGGTTCGTTCCTAGCTTGCTTCCCTATACAAACTATCATCACATTTTCACCCCCTTAAGGGATAATTACCGGGATAAAAAGTATCCTATGTCGTTCCCAGGGTCTGAAACTATCTTCTTACCAAATTTCATCTTAATCGGTTTAGTAGATCTAGAGATAACCCCTAAAACGTCACAAACGCACAATTCACAAACTCATAAACTTTACCTTTTCATAATATTAGTATAGATAGATTGACTTATTATATATGAAAAAAACCATCTTAAAGAAATATCACTCAATAGGGTACGACGCGGTCGCGGTTCCATACCTACGTGTGTGTCGTGTTATCTCTTTAATCATTTTGTCCAAATTATATGCAGTAAAAGGGAAAAGTTTTTTGTTTTAAACATTTTAGACGATAAATTTACTTATTTTGATAAGAATTCATAATTGTTGATAATATGACCAATAAACATGACCTACCGGTTTAAATTATTTCCAACCGACTTCAAAAAGGAGGAGGTTCTCAATTCAACTGTATGTTTTTTTTATTATGTTTGTTACCTCAGAACTCCGTCATTTATTAACCGATTTGGACAATTTTTGTTTTGTTTGAAAGAGTATACTACCAGATTGGTCCCATTTAAATTTCAAAAAAAAATATCACCCCTAAGGGTGGAAAAACAACTAATGATGAATTTAACATACTTCTAATTGTCATATTGACTTGAAACTTTGCAAGTATTTCTATTTCCGTTGATAGTACAGTAGTTCGGTGTTGTTGACCTGATCTGATGGCAAGGCCAGAAGGTGGATAGGTGGAACTCTTCAACGGCTAATAATAGATACTTTGAGCTTATTTTGTTTCATTTGACAAGCCTAACACGTTAGAATCCTTACTTTGCTACTACTGTTTACACTAAAAAGGGAAAAATAAAAACTTTTTAACAAAAAAATAAAAACCGACTTCAAACAAAAGCACTAAAAAGTAAAAAAACTGATTGGTAGTTTTCATTTACTATACATACCTAATCAAATATTTTCGAAGTCGGTGTGCTTTGGCTAAGTAATTAAAGCCTACCTATTAAATACATACCTAATCAAATATTTTCGAAATCGGTGACAGCCCATACAAAGCAACTTTTCTCTAGAATATAATTTTATATCTCTCATCGTTAAGGCAGCGTTCGTAAGAAACGTTTTCGTTCGACCGTTTTTTCTCTTCCCGTTTATTCTTCGGGTTAATATAAAGCCTATGACACTGAGAAATAACGTGGTTTTCTATTGGTAAAAGAATTTTGAAAATCGATTTAGTAGATCCAGAGATTACCCCCTAGAAAGTCACAAATTCACAAACTTTACCTCTTTATAATATTAGTATAGATATGCAAAAATATTTAATTTATATATATATATATGTGTGTGTGTATATATATATACATATATATATATATATATATATATATATATATATATATATATATATATATATAAACCCCTCTAGCAGTGCGAAATTAGCAGAAAAATTTAGTATGGAATCGAGTACATAAATATTTATAATATATATAAACATATTATGTACAATAAAATAAATTAAAAGTGTACAAATAAAATAATAAGTAAATTATAAAAGACTCATCCCCAAGTTGTTACATAAAGTAAATAAATAAATAATAAGTAAAAAACAATTGCAATAACTATTATGTCAATTTTGTTAAACTGAAAATATAAAGCAAGAAAATATGTATCTCTCTAGACAATAAGTAAAGAGATAAGAAAAATTGTAAAAAATCCATAACCAATCTATACATTTAATAAAATTGTAACTAAGCCGAATCTGTACGTTAAATATTTTTTGGAAAATCTCATTGAAATAAACATTATTATCGATACAGAAACCGAATCTATAGTTTTTAGAATTTTTGTCTGTCTGTTACCGCATCACGGAAAAACCACTGGAGGGATTTTGATGAAATTTGGTATGATGATAGCTGGTTATCCGGGTCAACATATAGGATACTTTTTACCGCGGGAAAATATCTAACTTCTGAGAAAAAATATAAAAATTGCATTGTAAGAGTATACTAATACGTAAAACCTAAAAATTTGGTATGTGGTCATCTGAACGCGGGCGGAGCCGCGGGCAATGCTAGTAGGTTATAAATATGTTCTGTAAAAATTAAAATGTAAACTAGGTCTCCGGCCTCCATGTCAGAGGAATTTCGGCTATTAAAAAAATAAAATAAAAAATAATAATTATATATATATGCCTACTGCCTAGGTATTTTTTTCGTTAAGAATGCAAATACCATATAATATATAGTATCTAATTATATTTAATTCAAATAGGCTTGTGTTATGGATACCAGATAGTCCATACACTACACATATTATATAATATTAATTAAATACGTATTATAAATATAAACACCCATTACTGGAGTACAAACATTCGTGCTCATTACACAAATGAATTCTCCCAACGGGACTCGAACTCGCGATCAGCTGGCACAGCACGTAGGGTCATTACAAACTGAGCTAAACGTAAATATATACACATACTAAGTACTCAGTCTGTTTAATTTTTGTATAGGTACTTATAACTTATTATTTAGGTACCTAGGTTTATGTCAATGCCGTTAATAAAAATAATAATTACTAAATAATTATATAAAATAATTGATTGGTCCCATTTAAATTTCAAAAAAAAAAAATACCACCCCTAAGGGTGGAAAAACAACTAATGATGAATTTAACCTACTTCTAATTGTCATATTGACTTGAAATTTTGCAAGCATACTAATAAGCTAACGACGACGGCTTGTTTCTGTAAAATAGTTAAAACTATAAATTACTACTACTGTACTACTACGCGAAGATATTTTGGAAGAAGGATTTTAAAATTAAAATTATATTTATTATAATACAAACGATAATATTGAGTTACAGTACGCGCAAATCTTTTTGAGGTCTGGGAACTTAGGCGCGAGTCACCTAAAATACTTATGTTGTTGCGCAGCCACTCGTTCCCTTCGACACCTAAAATACCTATGTTACTGCGCACCACTCGTGCTAAATTCTCATTTGCTCATACTGTACCTGGGAATTCAAATTCATTTATTCTATTAAAAAAAGCGGTAAGTGACACTCAGACGTACCAGTTACATACGTACTTAAGGTTAAAATTGACATTTACATAAAATAGGACCCTGTAATGACATTGGCATTGAGTCAGATTTTTGTATAATATATACTTTTAAGAGTAAACACAACAGGCATAATATTAAACTACAGTATAAATATAATTTTCGACTAGGCTCTTTTATTTTTCCCTTATATATATTTTTTACGATAGCCTACGAATAAATAAAAAGTATTTATTCGTAGACGATAGCTCTTATATTTACTTTGATGTGAAAACAAAAGATTTGATTTACGATTAAATTTATTTTATGTTGTTTCAGATTCCTGAATAAGCTTTAAAAGAAAATGGCAGCTTTTAACGTCGCTCTCGGATGCATAATGGCACTTTTGGTAATATTATTTACAATTAGCTCCATCGCCAGATATTACATAAAGGTACTTATATTATTTGTTTTCATTTAATGTTTAGGTACAATACATACTAATACAAAGAAATTATTTATAAGTTTAATTAGGCATATTAATATGTACATACATATCATCATATGTAGGTAAGTATGTTAATTGAAAAACCATTTTTGAAATAGCAGGATATTGACTTTTTTTATATTATCTCATAGACAACTTAGGGGGAATCTATTAATTACGTAAGACAATTTTGGCGTTTCCTTTCCTCCGCCCTCCCCTAATCTCACGTGCGACTTTTTAAAATGTGGATAAAATAAAATTATTATTAATTTTATAAATTTCTCCAAAAACAATGGTAGTAATAGGTAGTGAAAATGATTAGTGCATCGTATGTTTATTACAAAAGGTTGTGGCATTATTTTTTTATGAATGATCTTCACATCGCACCGTATATGTGAAGGAAATATTCCTTTCTAAATTATTTATTTACTATTAATAAATATTTATTATTAATTAACGAATATTTATTGAATGTTAAGAAATATTTGTTCATATTTAATAAATTTATTGATGATTTATGAATGAATTATGATTTAGCCATAGTGGAGAAACATTTTTTACTTAAATAAACCCAGTCTTCTCACAATTTTATGCTGTTTCTTGCGGAACAAAATTACGCGATGTTTGCTGAGACCACCCTCTCCTCCACGTGAGATTGAGTGAGGTTTTGTTCGACCCCCTCTCCCCCCTGCTCTAAACGCCATTTACACCATCACTGAAAAATCCAAAAAAAAAAACATTTTTGGGAACATTGACCTTGGATAAATTTTTTTGCGCACATGGGATCGAGGGGGACTTTTCACAATTTCATTATAATGGTATCCCTAACGTTCATGTAAATTATCATCTTCTTTGGAATTTGTGCAAGGGTAGGTACCCCTATTTTCGGGCTAATTTGACCGGTCTACCATTCTGTAAAGGTATAGGTACAATAAACAAAATGAATATTTGTTATTTTCTTCTAAGTTATCACAATCGTAGATTAGGTTCCACAAAAACGATGATTGGCGATTTTTTCGTGTATTTTTTAAAATATTCATAAATCATAAAATATTCATAAATCTATAACACGTGTTTTATATTAGTGGACAGAAATATATGTGACATACGGGATGAATTCTTTAGCTATTTTTGATCTGTTACGCCAAAGAAGTATAAGTTTTTATGTGCGTACATTTGTTGATTATTAAAACCATAAATAAGGATATTTTTTTTCTAGCAAATATACCTTACTGCCTATTATATTGTTTTCTTATCTCTTTGTCTGTAACTCATGTCCTGAACATGTCATCATGAACATGTCACACGAAATAGTCATAAACATTTTACTATTGCATGGTTCAAGTTTACTCAGTTCACCTTTTTCTTTTGAAGTCGATCATAATAAATTACGTACTTATTTATCATTTATTAGTGTAGGTGGGTAATAATGGTTTATAACCAAATCAATCAATAATCTTTTTATAAATAAAAATGAATAGCAAATTGTGTTACTAAGCGCAAAACTCAAGAACGGCAGGACCAATTCGGCAATCATTTTTTTCAAATATTCGTTGAAGTCCATGGAAGGTTCTTATGAAGGGAAAAACTGGAAAAAATGCCCGGAAAAACGTAAAATCTCAATTTTTCTAATAAGGCCTGCTACACACCTGATTTGACAGAACGAAGTCTGTCGAGTCAGCTATAAAGCCGCGTTGACACGCTCAAAGTCTGCTTTGACAAAAAGCTTTGAAACAAAGTTCTCTTTGATAAAGTCCGCTTTGATTGAACGCCGACGTCAAAGTGCGCTTTCATTGCTCGTTTACATGATCAAAGTTACATCAAACTAGTCATCAATACTACTTTATCATAGTAGACTTTGATCGTGTCAACGCGGCTTAAAGAATATAAATATTTAAATTTGATTTAAGTGTTCATAAAATTGATTTGATTATCTATACAAATAATTCTAACTGAGTGAGAATTTTTAGAAAATCTTATTGAAATATTCATTATTGCGATACAGGGGCCGAATCATATAATTTTTAGACTTTTTAGCTGTTTGTCTGTCTGTCTGTCTGGGAACGCATCACTGGACAGATTTTGATGAAATTTGGTATCATGATAACTAGGTATCCGGGTCAACATATAGGACACTTTTTAATGCGGGTAAATATTTTATATCTGAGAAATCTACGGTAACCCTTAAAATATATTCTTTGTCGATGAAGGCGAAGAGAAAATATGTAAAGTGCTTATTTTTAACCCCCGACGCAAAAACGACAGGGTGTTATAAGTTTGACGTGTCTGTGTGTGTGTGTCTGTCTGTGACATCGTAGCTCCCGAATGGGTGAACCGAATTTGAATTTGTGTTTTTTGTTTGAAAGGTGAATTAGCCGGGAGTGTTCTTAGTTATGTTTGATGAAAACCGGTTCAAGATGCTCGGGGTTTTTTTTTTAATTTTGAATTAAATTTATTAGTAGTAATTATTTAGTAAGTATATTGCCTGTACATTTGCCTTAATTTTTGTTATGAAATTATATAAAAGAAAACTGAATATTCATTATATATTAATATGACACTAAATAACAACAAATGCCACTAAAGCATTTTTATTTGCAGTTCACACTGTTTATTGTACTGTCACTAATATTTGCAACTGCGCCACTTCCTCTGATGTTCCTAAGACCATTCAGCCCAAAAAATGCCTTGTAAGTATTTTGAAGTTTAGAATTTTCTCTTTGTATTTTTGCATTTTTTTTTACAGAAATGAGAAATACGATTTTAAACACCCTGATATTTGAAGGTATTATTTATTGTATTTCTTTACGTCATTAAATCTATACATATAATAAAACTGTAACTAAGCCGATCTGTACATTAAATATTTTTTGGAAAATCTTATTGAAATATACATTATTATCGATACAGACGTCGAATCTATAGTTTTTAGAATTTTTGTCTGTCTGTCTGTTACCGCATCACGGAAAAACCACTGGAGGGATTTTGATGAGATTTGGTATGATGGTAGCTGGTTATCCGGGTCAACATATAAGATACTTTTTATCGCGGGGAAATATCTCATTTAAGAGGAAAAATACAAAAACTAAGTACAATGTAAGAGTATACCTACTAGTATGTAAAACCTAAGAATTTGGTTTTTGGTCATCTGAACGCGGGTGGAGCCGCGGGCAATGCTAGTGTATCTATAATATTTGTTTTGTTGTTTTGTTGTTTGTATCTATAACTGTTTGTATTTTGAATACAAGTAACTTTCTTTCTCAATGTTTGGAAAAAATTATGTATCTTTAGGAATGTGTCGAAAATATTAAGCATGTATACATATATATGTAGGGAATATTATACATTATGCAATATACATATTTACTAGTTACAATATGTCTATTATAGTCATTAAATATTTTATTTCTTAAAAATTTACCTATATATTTCTATGAAGAAATGCTATGAAAATATCTGCGTATTAGGCGTTAAAAAAATTAATCATGGAAATACGATCACGAAACGAAATTAATTTAAAATTAGTTAGGGACTTAAATAAAAAATAGAAATTCTATATTCAATTCGTTAAATAATAATTAATCAAACAGATAAGAAAAATACCAAAATGGATAAAATCGATGTAAAATTAGTACTATAGTTCGGCTTTGTAAATACTGTTCACGAAAGCGTGATTGATAATAAAATTGATAAATAACGATAGTACGTAATATATGAAAGTGCATCAGTAGGTTTGTTTGTTTTTAAAAGACACATTCAGTCTTGATTATCGGCTGTGGTAAATTCAACCATAAAAATATTATATACTAGCAGAACACGCGGCTTCGCTCGCGCTAAAACTACAAAAAATATCTAAAAAGTTAAGTTTCATACAAACTTTCATCCCCTATTTTACCCCCTTATGGGATGAATTTCGAAAATTGCTAAAATACATATTTACTTAATTGTATTGAAGAACATTAATACCAAGTTTCAACTAATTCTGATCATAAATTATAATCTTTTCGTGTTTTTCCATGGAAATGTGATAATATCCCGTGGTAAAAAGTAGCCTGTAATGTCACTCTCCGGACCTCCATCTATCTCCATACAAAAATTCACGCAAATCCGTTACTCTGTTTTGACGTAAAAGAAGTACAAACAAACAAACACACTGTCACATTTATAGCATTAGTATGGAAGTATGGACTAGTCTTTACCAAAGATTATTTTAAAAAACTAAGATTACTGGCATTTATTAAAAATAAGCCTCGTGTTGCTTTGACCATTTTTTTGGAATTTCCTGTGTCATTCAAAAACCGAATTCGGATTTTTCCAACTTTAAACGTTCATTCATTCATAAACACACGGATTTAGGGAAGAACCTATTTGTTTTATGATGGTTTTACAAAATTTATATTATTTAGTTAGTCAACATTTAGATTATTTACACATAACTACGTAATCGTATCTAATGTATTTTCGAACTCGAATTTGCCTGATATATGCAATAATCAAATCTAGGGATCATGATTTTGACTAAGTAAATTTTGTTACGTATTACCATTTTTACGCATAACAAAAAATTAAATTAACCTTAAAACGTTTGTATATAGTATATGTATATGTACTCTATGTATGTATACATATATACTCTCAGTCCGTTTCATTTTTCATTTTTTTTAAATTGTCTTGGGATATTCGAAATATAATTAGGGCTCAAAAGGTAGAAAACACAAAAACATTTTTTATGGAACCCTAAATGAATGATAGCAGGATAAAATATGAAAACATGTATAGAGCGATAAGAATATAAGTAAATTAATAGAACTTACAAAAACGACACATTATTATTGTTTAACAAAATATGACCATGATTATTATTTATTTATTTAACAAATTGAAATTTTATTCGCATCATTCAGGTTATTTAACCCCATGATAGAAAAGTGTCCTTGGGATAGATAAAATTGTTTTCCTAGGAATAAAAAGGTTCCCGTAAGATAAAAAAAAACTAAATTAGTATGGTATTTTTCATAGTTTATAAAAATTGTTTTTACAAACGAATGACATACTAAACTCGAACGAAACAGCATGCAACTGCTTGTCATTATCTTAAATAAACTAAGTTATCTATTAAACACAGATTACCAGCATTGTTACTTCGGATAACAGCGCGTTTCCTTGGCATCAAATGGATAGTACGCGGCCTCGAAAATGTGGATGATTCACGAGGAGCTGTCGTGCTTCTCAACCACCAAAGCTGTTTAGATTTATATGGTAACTTTTTATATAATATTTTATATTTTTTATGTCAAAGATGCATTACATTTACACTAATTAACAGTAACATGCATAAATCGACTATTTCGAAGCATTGTCTGTATTGGCAGTTTCCTACTGCTACGCTACTCTTTATCTTAAGTCCGGACGAAGATATAATTAGGTACCTACTCTGTAAGGGAATCAAACCTGTGACCAACAATTAACATATAAGACGCAATATTAATAAGACATTAGGTAGAGTACATTAACAACAATATGTGTATACATGTATGCAATTCCGGTGGATCCTGACCGTTATTGTTTGGTGTATAAGTATTATATACTTTATGTCAGAAGGTTAAAATTATGAAAAAATGCCGCATATAAAGTACTTATATGTTTAAGCAAAGAGGAAAATCTAATTTCCATGAAGCCCTTTTATTTTAAATTAAAGGAAAATATTTTTTACGGTAAGATATACGTACGTAATATTTGCCTTTTATTATGTTTATTTTTCTAAGAATACTAGCGACGTACATGCATCTCTAGGTGTCTATATACCATATATTTTATCGCTTTATTTGAAACCATTTAGGCAGCGCTTTTACTTTATAATATTAGTATATAAATGTGTCTGAAGTATTTCATAGAGTAGGTACTTCATATTTATAAGTAACGGCTCACCCTCGCTTCGCTCGGGTTCACCTCTAGAAATATAAAAACAAATCTATCCCTCGGGAACCATATATTTTCCGGGTTAAAAAGTAGCCTATGTGTTATTCCAGATTATAATCTATCTTTGTGCCAAATTTCATCCAGATCCGTTCAGCCTTTCAGGCTTAAAAAAGAATAACAAACATCCATACATACTCACGAACTTTTACATTTATAATATTTATACAGATTTACCGACTTCAAAACAATAAAACTAGAAAATGAAAATCATCCACGAAGTAACGACTATTACATTAACAATGGAATTGCGCATATTATTTCATAATTGTAAACAATCTTATTTATTACTAGCCAGGAGCAGTTTGTAGCTTTTCTCGCGGGTGTTTTTCTTTTAATAAAAAAAAAAACAACAAAACAAGGCAAAAAACGAGCTAAAGCTGTTTGTATCTCGTTCGGTTTAAAATATTCAATATACAAAGACCACGTTATAATTTTATTATTTCATTATGTATTATCATTCTTAAAACAAAAATATTACAAGTATGTACACAAAATATAAATAAAATATAAATATGTTAGGACATTAACCCTTGACTCGAACCCGCGACCGTTGGCACAGCAAGTAGGGTCACTCCAAACTGAGCCAAACGTGTCGTCAAAAATATATGATGTAATATAAATATTAAATAAAATTCCGTATACCTACTATTTGTATCACACTAGTATTAATTATATTATGTAAGATGTAAAAGTTTGTTTGAGTGTACGTATGTTTTCTGCTTCTTACCGTAACAGTTCAAAACGGCAATTTCATGCTTTAACCCCTATTATTACGTATACAGTGTATTTATTACCCGGGTTTAATTGGTATAAAAACTAAATTTTACAAAGACTGTCTTCTTCTTTTTTGGCTTGAAGGATCTATTTAAATGATTTTTACATATTCGCAGTGCTAGCAGTGCTATGGCCGTTAATGGAAAGGTGTACCGTTGTGTCCAAACGTTCTCTCCAATACTTGGTACCCTTCGGGACCGCCACTTGGATGTGGGGGACTGTGTTCATAGACCGGGGTGCTCATTCTGCGAAATCAGTACTCAACAAACAGACTGATGCTGTTAAGGATCAAAAGGTATGTTTTCTGTTTTTAAAGTTTTTCGCCGTTGAACCTGCCCTGAGTAATCTGATATAGTCATCTGAGTCTTGTTATTTTCATCTTTTATCACATTTATTCCTGTTGTTAGTATTATTAACGCACTAGCGACCAAAAATAAGTAGATTACGTTGTTAATTTTTATCATCTATTCGATGTCTTACTTGTTACCGTGTATTTTTTAGCTCCTATAGGTAGTTCCTATGCAATATTGTTGTTATTTTCGCGAAATGTCATAAAACTTGGTATAGGTTTATATATATGAAACTCTTTAACCTCTTCTATCGGTTATGGACTAAATACTTAAACTCTTTATTTAAAAAATCACTCAAAGAATTTAAAAATATTTATTGTATGGAAATTTAATACATATTATTAACATGTAAAAAAAAATAATTATGTCAAATAATTGTATTTAAAAGCTTATAATTAGTACGGTTTATTAAATAATTTAACTCCAAAGATTGGTTGATCAAAAAAATTGAAAAAGTCAGAGTGGGCCACTCCAAGAGAGACTCCCTTTAAGAAGACAGTTGTGATAATTAATTTAAATCCAAACGTAGGCCCACCTATGTATCTAGCTTAAATAATAACTATTATTGTATATCGGTCATATAAAAACTGCCAAAAATGAAAATGACTAACTAAAATGACCGATATAAATGAACGAGATAAAAAGTATCCTATATCCCAGGATCTCAAACTATGTTATTATCGAATTTCATCTAAATCGGTTCAGTATATCCAGAGATTACCCCCTACAACGTCACAAACTAACAAACTTTACCTCATTATTATAATATTAGTACCTATAGATTAAGTAGGTACTATGTGAAGTTTTCATATTTTGCAATTTAACTTTACACACTTTAAGTACATTTTATTGGTGTGACAGTATTAATTATAAATGAAAACTTTGTGATGTTGATGAGCAGTTTTGAGTGAAATTTAGGAAAGCGATAGCTTACTCCTGGTTATCGTTATGGATTGACTTTTAAGCTATTTTATATCGACGTTTTTAAGATATCTACGTATCTACCGTTTCAAGGCTAGTAGTAATTAATACTACTAGTAATTAATAAATATGTGTAAGTAGCTCGTATTTTATGCAATAACCTATAAACCTGTTATGTAACTCGACAACAAAAAAAGTACCTATGTACCTACTACAAGTATTGATTGGCGACTTAATTATCCATTTTTTTCTTGTTGAGTATTTTTTTTACAATTACTATCTGAACGATAAGAATAAAGCTAATGCTCGTAAACCGTTAGGAATTATTGTCTGTCCGTCTATTTGTACTGGTTAATCTACGGACATAAATTCAGAAAGACCTAACATATTTTTTATTTTAGTAGAACAAAAATGACTTAAACCATGTGAACGGGACATATTATATTCTGTAACCCCGAAAATGTGATGTGGTTATGGTGGTGAAAATAAGTGTTTTTAGTACAGTGTAGTGAGAACCAGAACAAAGCACGAGCGGAGTTCTTGGTCATCAGAAATCATCATCAGAATCGAACTCACGACTAGACAGCAGACAGTAAAAGCAATGCTAACTCTAAACGCTGCACTTGTAGCAATCTGATGTAGTTACCCATTCCTATTCGTTATCACGTACCATTTCAAAGTCAAAGGACAATAATGGGTTTAAACTGTATATATTAAATCAGTGACCTCTAAGATCCTTATTAAGGAAATGTGTCAAAGTCCGTGTGTTTTGCTGAGCATTTACTCAATTATCCTCTAACCTTGCCATAACGACGTGGTGTTAACATTCGTTATTCGTTACGTTCTAGAATAGAGCAAAATGTTAAGGTTCTACCATGACGTTTAACATTGCTTATATTTAAGAAAAAATGAAATCCTTTAACATTACTCTTTTCATATGTATATGTAAAGAGATGTTTATTTAAAAAGTAGACTCCTACTAGCTTTTACTAAAATAGATTACCAAGTTTATAAGGAAACTTATGCGATATTATGAATACAACAGTAAAAGTAGCATTATATGTTCACGTTTTGTCGCTTACTGTTACTAAAAAGATAAAAATCAGGCTCGAAAATCCATTTCCAACTTATTGGGCTTATCAAATCAAACCAAATAAGCCCAAACTCAAGGTATTTACGCCGTTGAAGACTTCTTCTGACCTCCCCATCGGATCAGCTTGATGATAATAAATCACTGAAGTAACATCGGGAATACATACACTTATAAAGTTTTAAGTTGATATGATTATAATTAGAAGTTGATAAAAATGTACGGAAAACTCTCTGTCAAAGAAAATTTTACGGGATCACCTCGGAATCTATCTAAATAGAATACAGTTTAATTAGCAAAATCGGTCAAGTCGTCACCGAGAAATCTGTAAACATGTCTAAAAAAAGATACATACAGACGAACATAGAACCTGCTCTATGTTCTTTGCTTACTTCACTTGTTTTTTTTTTCAAAAACAATAATATTATCCCAAACTCAAGTTTATCCTAACTGTTCTTTTGTTTAACTGGCGGTAGGCTTCTGACTTCTCCTATATCCGATGACATCATCCCATTGTAAATAATTGTGCATTTACCTTTTTAATGGTGCTTGGTACTATCTAGGGCCAACGTACGAGTAGGTACAAAGTTTGAAGTAATATTTTTACCATATCAGTGTGACTTGCTAAATAAAAGACGGTCTATTTATAACACAAAAAGTAGCTAATTGAAAATTTTGCTTGATTTTTCGGATAGTTTACGTCGTGGAGACGAACATATTACATATAATGATTATATATACATGGTTTGATTTTTTTATTTCTTCCAATATTGGCATTTGCCGTACCCGCCTTCTAAATTGTACACAAATGTAAAAAATGTACAAATTTTATGAAACTATTGAATTAAAAACCTTCTTAATACAAAAGCTTAAGCAATATCTAATCATTCGTGAAGTAACATGTTTGTATTATATTTACTAAAAAAATATTGCCCGTCGTCCGTCACGCACACGCGACGCCATCTCGACTTACACCTATGTATGTAAGATGTATAATATTCACATAGGTATTGCGCAAGATCTAAATGGGTCTGATGACGTACTGCAGTACAACTTGGACATTATACATTTGTACATTATGTCTATTTTTGGCCGGCTTTAAAAAGCTTAAGGTGTCTACTCAATCTGTTTTTTTTGTGTCGTACACAAAACCTGATATCATCACCAATTATGAATTTTCTGGATATGGCCATAATTTTAATGAATTTGCACATTCTAGTTGCATTTACAATAATTTACCTGATAGGTAAATAAATATTTACGTTTTATGTGGTTACCTTTTTTAATAAGCTTTTATTTAACTTGCAATGTTTGTTAGTTTTTATATTATATATGTGTCAAATCTTGCAAGATGAATTAGAACCACTTCCTCTTATCGTAGAAAGTTGAAAATTTGCATGTTATACTGTTTAGTATGTATGTAACAAAATTCAAACGCAGTAACATACAATCGTAAGATAATTTAAACCAGGAAAATGCATAAGCTTTATCGACGGAGACGTACACGATTATTTCCATACCCAGTTTTACAAATTATATTTTGAAGATATCTTACTAATTTTATGATTACTTACGATTATTTCGGTATCTATACAGTATACGTAGTATAAAGCATGATGGTTTACATGTATAATACATGCATTTTATAGAAGAGAATTTCATAGATTTGTAACGGTGTTGTATAAAACATATTTTTGGGCGCTTACATTGCTAACGCTTACTACGGAATTGTATAGGTATCATAAAAAGGTACACGTTACCTACGTGTACCTGTCTACAGAAAAGTCTGCAATGATTTACGTCTACATATCCTAGGAATAACCCACAGTTGCCATTTTTGTCCTTTAAATACATATTACTAAAAACATTATTTTCCAGTAATATTTAAAGGACGAAAATACTATTAAAATTGCCCTTTACACCATATCATTAAAATCAATATCTTAAAAGATATCACAAATTTAAAATTACTAATCGCTCGCAGCCAAACTGCTAACGCTGGCTAAACCTATAGAGATATATTAAAATAATGTACTAGATCTAGAAAATTGTAGGTTTTAAAAAGGCTACAGAAAAGTCCGTGATAGCAAGTATCTACCTCCTAAGGTACGTTCCCAATAATTATTGTGATCTATATAGTATATACTAGCGTTGCCCGCGGCTCCGCTCGCGTTCAGATGACCAAAAACCAAATTTTTCGGTTTTACATATTAGTATACTCTTATATTGCAGTTTTTGTATTTTTTCTCAGAAATGAGATATTTTCCCGCGATAAAAAGTACCCTATATGTTGACCCGGATAACCAGCTATCACCATACCATAATTTCATAAAAACCCCTTCAGTGGTTTTTCTGTAATGCGGTAACAGACAGACAGACAGACTAAAAACTAAAAACTATAGATTCGGCCTCTATATCGATAATAATGTCTATTTCAATAAGATTTTTCAAGACATATGTTAATGTACAGATTCGGCTTAGTTACAATTTGATTATAGTCGTAGGTATAGAAAACGTACCTAAAGACGCTTTACTTGATTATAAGAATCTTTTGTTAGTCGAGAACATTAATATTGCTTTTCGGCTTACGTCACGGGTAAAGAATATAATTTATCTAGGTATTTGACTAATTAAATTGAAAATAAGACTTGTTTTTAATTTTTGAGATTTTATCTGTACAAAAAGCATAAACAATACGACCTAAAAAGTCACGCTGAAGCTAGTCCAGTCTTAATCAAATAATAGCAATTACCTATTTACCTAGTAAATTTTAAATAACCCATAAATAAAATAAAAATTACAATTTTATTTTATTTAAATAAAAAATATATTAATTATTATATACTTAATACTTTCTTAGATTTACGCGAATATTTGACATTTTAAATAAAACTATCTTTTCGGATTTTGTCGCGGATTTATTTGTATTTTTGT